TAGTGCTGTTCATTAAATAGAACCAGGTCTGCTGACCTTTTGGGGCTCCTTTCCAGCAGAGATTTGGGGTTATCACAGAACCAGGTGGGCAGTCAAAAGGGATTGTGTCACTTACCTGTGGCAAGGTGGGCTCCAAGTTCTCCTGCCCCTTTTCTGGGCCTGTACTTTAACACATCCCACCTCCAGCCACTGTGCAGGGGAAGCTGCAGCAGGCTCACTCCAAACAGGGACCCTAGTTGTGCTTCTGGCCTTGCATCCAGGGCTTAGGGTCCCCTCAGCTCCACTAGATCTAAATCTGATAGCTGGTCCAGTCCACTGGAGCCCAGCAAGCTTTCAGCTTCAGCCCTGCTCACGTAATTATTGAAATAAAAAAACCTGGCCAGGCACAGTGGCTCACGCCAGTAATCCCAGCACTTTGGGAGGCCAAGGCAGGAGAATCAGTTGAGGCCACGAGTTTTGAGACCAGCCTGATTTTGTATTTTTGCTCCATTGATAGTCCATGAAAATATTTACCTTGTTTTTGAGTCAGATGGTGTTTTCTACTTTTCCATTTTCTGTCTCACTGTTGTTTGGGTCAAAGCGGTGTCAATGCCTGAGCCCTAAACTGTGTCTTTGACTCTCTGACCTCCTGTCTCTTCCCTCCTTCCCACCCCCAGCCTGGCTCCCTTCACAGCACCCACTTCATCTTGTCCCTTGCTTCTTGCTGTAACTCCTTCCCCTCACCCCAGCCATGGCTCCCACACACACCCCTGCACAGTCTCTCCTGCACCCCCTTTACCACACGGACACTCAGTCTTGCACCTGACTCTTAACTCTCCCCACACCTGCTGGTCTCACCCGTTCACTTGGTGGCCGTGACTCTTGCCCAGGCACCCACAGCTCTGCCAAGTGTTCACCCTTTGTGAGACTAGAATTGCTCACAGCCGAACAAGCAGGGCAAAATGACAACCTTTTTAAGACCTGTAAGAACTTAGAAAATTTACTGCCCTAAGAATCACAGGAAACATGGGTAAATGTTTTTACGGTACTGGAATGAGGAAAGCTCTTCTAGCCCTGATGTGAAATCCAGATTTATTAAAATTTAACAAATCAAAAATCAAAATTTTGGGGGGGGGGAACCAAGGGCAACACACGTAACCTAAACATAATATGCTGAAATAAAAAAAAAATTTGGGGTAGCATTAAAAAAATGAGTTTGTAAAGAAAACTCAAGACAAAGTCTAATTTCCCTAATATACAAAAGGTTGCTAAAAATCAGTAAGGACTAACAATCTAATAATAAAATGGTGAGATGAGAATGGGCAGTTTCCCAATAGAGAAAATACAAATATCCAATAAACGGAACATTTGCCAAGCCTCACTTAAAAAGCAATGGTATAATCAGTTTTTGCTACTCAGGCTGGCAAAATTTTAAAATTGATAATACAGAGTATTGGCAAGCAGGTAATAGATATTTTTGTATCACAACATAAATTGGTAAAAACTTTTTGGCAGGCTTAATTGGCAATGTATTAAATGTCCCCACCCTTTGACCCAACAATTCTACTTCCAGGACTGTTTCTCACCAGTGCTCAAAGATAAGAACAAAGATGTGTTCACTGTGGCACTGTGGGCAATAGCCACATGCTAGAAATCCCCCAGGCCAGTCACCGCGGAACCAGGAAATAAATGCTGGGACAACTGCATGCTGGAATGCCAGCCAGTTTCCAGAGTGAGGAAGCTCTAAGTGTGCTGGACACATCAACATGTCCAAGGTATGCTGATCAGTGAAAAAGCAGGCTGCACAAGAGCGTGAATAGAACATTCACATTTTTGTAAAAGAAAACTTGGTTGGTTTATGGCCAATAGAACACAGTGTGATGGAATGTTCACCAAGTTGCCAGCAATGGTGACCCCCCCCCCCAGAGAGGTGGGGGTAGAGGGCACTCTCATTTTATTATATATACACACACATTTTTTTAAATGAGCATATATTAGTCTAGTAAGCAGAAAAACACAAAAATCATGATTAGTAAAGCATTTCTCATAATTACTTTAAAATGTCTTACCATAATGAATAGTGCATATAGTTATAATTTTCTATCCTTATTCATACAATGTATGGATTAAAGTAACCCATAAAGTCCACTATTATGGATGAACAGCAGAATCAGTTTTCACTTGGTCATAACTTCCTTTCCAAACTGTTGCTTGGCTCTAGGCACAGTGCGACACCCCATGGGTAAGAACCAACCAACTGGGCTGGACGTGTGTTCAATCACCAGGTGTCTCCTGGCTGCCAAGAATAAGCACACGGGGCAATTGACAGAAGGCAGGCCAGATCCTTGAAGGATTCACCTACCCTGGCTGGACCAATCTCTCAAAGGGGCTGGGATCTACTGACTTCTACGTTCTCCCCAAATCTGAAGTTTACAAAAGTAGCAGAGATGCTCCTCGGGGAGAAATGGATATCTTCTGCAACAGAGCACAGAGGTAAAAGGGGTGAGGTGGAACATTTCTAGATTTCAGGAGGAGGCTGGCCTCAAGGGCAGGAGAATTGCTCAAGATGGGTCCAGGAAAGGGCCAAGTCCCAGGACTCTGCTGCTGCTACCTGCTTCACCCACGGTAGTGGGGCCACACCCTCCTGCCTGGCCTCTACCTCTAGCATTTCCTCAGGGGCTGGAGGCTGCTCCTAACACCCCAAGCCAGAGAACAGGCAAAGAGTCCTGGGCCCAGCGATTACCAACAGCAACCAGATTACCATAAATATGGGGGAAACCATGGCTTAAAAAGGGAAAAAGGACTAAATTTTCCAAAATGTAAAATTTCCCTATTTTCCCCCATCATTTGCACAAATTTTGGTCAAGTCCAAATGTAATTTGAAATGAGGTAGGTAGTTTCTCTCTAATCGTGCCTTCGTCGTCGTGGTGACAGTCCAGGCCTGTGCTGAGAAAGCACTTGTCTCGTGGAGAAGGGCAGCGCCAGGGAGGGCACCAGTGACTGGTGGAGCTTCTCAGTTGGCTATTTTCTCAATCTCGTCCAAATCATCTGTGTCCAATCTTTCTATCTTCTTATCTGGGGGGGGAAACACACAGGTCTCTGCCCTGCCTAGGAACATGCCACCCCTCGGGCCATA